TATTGAAACTCAAAGTTATAAAACATGAAATAAAAGAAGGAGTTTTGTAAAATCATTAACCTTGGGGGCCTGTCATTCATGGCATGGCTGTTCTGAATAACAACTGTATGTTGTTTTAACTATTTTCAAATATTTCAAGTGAACAACAAGATAAAATCTATGTATATCTGACATACAGGGTGGCAAGATGGTGCCTACATAAACACATTAGTGACTTCTTGTAAGCCATATGTAAATATAATAGGCAAATATGTACTGTACATATTAAATGAATATTGAGCTCAATATAAGAGTGTTTGCATTTTCAAGCAATGGTTTCCTGAGGAAATTCAGTTTTTAGAATGGCAGTTCACAATTTATGAGTAAAATAAGATCTGCATGTGCTTGATGAATCAGATAACTTGTTACAAACATCTACTTTAACTGCAATTAATGAGTTGTCAACTGCAAGGTTCTTTAACAAGACCAAAATGGCCATAAAAAAGAGCAATTTATAATTTTGTGGTTAGTGTGTTTTTGTCCAGCAACTACTGTAGTTGTGCTCTTCTGACAGTCTGCAGAGCTGCAGCATATATCAACTCTGAACACATTTCTGTATACAAATTTCATCAGTCTCATCGTATATGTAGTAGGCCTATATGTAAACATGAGTTCTAAATGAAAGGAACTGTTGGAGGATAGTTCATCTAGTGCTATTCTGAAACTTACCCTGGAAAAAGTAGCTAATATGTGTTCAAGCTGTTGAACGTTTATGGCATAGATGATATTTTCAGTCAATACAAATGAGAATGTTTAACATGGATGTCTATGGGGCTGCCTTCAGGAGACTGGAAGTGGTAGTTCTCCACTTACAAGCCTATTGTTAGTGAATTTGGAGTATTCTAAATGAGACCCAATGTCATCATGATCCAGCAGAGAGATTTCTGGTCTCACCACTAGATTGCAGCGGTTACTTTTACTAATTCTCTCTGTGTTTCACATGATTGGTTTTTCTCTGATCACCACTTTCATATGCACTTGCTCACAGTACAGAGTTCACAGTATACTCCGGATCAAACCATGAGATGACAGAGAAGATCTGTAACAAGTGAACCACTGATCCCAATCTAAACTTGGTTGGATTTGTTTGGTTTATAAACTTTGTTCAACTTGCTCTTCCACAGAATCATAATAGAAGTTACTTAGCCAATCAGGAGACTTAAATGGATAGTTCACCCAAAAATGAAAAATCTGTCATTAATTACTCGCCCTCATGTCGTTCCAAACCCGTAAGACCTTTGTTCATCTTCAGAACACAAATTTAGATATTTTTTTATGAAAACCACTCATCAGCGGTTCAACCTTAATTTTACGAAGCTACGAGAATACATTTTGTGTGCAAAGAAAACAAAAATAACTACTTTATTGAACAATTCTTCTCCTCCCCATCACCACTGGCCGCCATTCACGAGAGTATAATGTTTAGTTTTAAATTATTGAATAGGATGTAAATGAAATTGTGTGTGGGAGTCCACATATCCAGTGACCTCTCTTGGTCTGCTAACATCTCAGCAACAATCAAAAAGGCACAGCAATGACACCACTTCCTCAGAGTGCTCAGGAAAAGCAACATGGTACAAAAACTTGTGGTATTGATATGCAAAAATGTACTTTAGCATGTTTGGTGTGCATATAATACGCAGTTTTCATGTGCATATGATACGAAATATGTTGGCGTGCATATGATACGCAGTTGCCCTTTTAGGGAACTCCACGCTGTGCCTCCTAGGGGGCATACTGGGAAATGTAGCCTGCATGACCGGTGTCTGAAACACGTGTGAAACAATGCCAATCTATTGGTCCACCTGGCCCATGACAGCATAGGCGGGGTGCCCGGAAGTATAAAAGGGCACCAGTTGAATACGTCATCCTCTTTGATGTCTTTATGAGCCGTCTGTTTGAAGTGCGTGTGATAGACCAAGGCGGGTGAGCGTTGTGGAAAGTGTGTGCCTCCATGCCTGAGTTTCCTGACACTTGAGGACACACACAATCTATGCGTTATGTGTCTTGGTCGAGAGCTTGTGCATTCAGTGCTCGAGGGCTCTGAACACACTCATTGTGAGTGTTTCCAATGAGAAGCTCCGTTCACGTTTGTCCCTGTTCTCGAGTGATGAGTGACAAGCATTTGCGTCTCGCAGTTCGAGGGGTTAAGATGCTCTTTTGGGTTATCGATCCCGTGTATAGCGCTTGAGTCGAGCAGCACCTGAGGGAATGTGTGCCTCCGTGTTTGGATTCTAACACTTGAGGGCATATTCTGCTTTCACGTTTGTCTCGGTGAAAAGCATGCAAGTTCAGAGTGACGCACTCATTGTGATGAGTCATGATGTCTAGGCTCCGCTCGTGTTTGTTCCTATTCCCGAGGGATGCGGTCTTTGTCTTTGTCCTGTCTTCAGCCTTATCTGAGGGAATTGCTATTCGAGGATAGCTGTGTCCGGCCTTCTAGTGTTTTGGCCACGGCTTACATCAGGCTTTGATCGTGGACTGATGATGTTTATGTGTTCGCTCTTAGCAAATCATTTACTGATGGCCTGGATCTCCGTCTTGTGAGCTCCTGGTCAATGACACGGGGCTTCGCTAGCCTACCGTAGGACTGACACGGATTGGGGGCCTCCTTAGTATAGCCATCTGAGGGTGGTTATATTACAGCCATTGTTATGGCAGGACGGGCTTACCTGAATACAGCTATCTGAAGCTAGCTGTGTCTTAATGGTGGTTGCGGTGAGCCCTCTCCCGGAGTGATCCCCTTTCTTAGAGCCTAGCTATCTGAGGATAGCTATGTGATAGCTCAGTGATTGCTCCCCTCCCTAGGGTTTTAAGTAGCGGTCTCTTGAGCCCTTGCCTAGAGAGCACTGTCTCCCCTGCTAGGGTTGTACGTAGATAGGACATAGCTATCTGAGGATAGCTGTGTTCTAGCTCATCAGCTATTTCTCCTTACCGGGATTTAAGTAGCTATATTTGAGCTCCTAAGAGGCTTTCTAGTTAGTCTCTTCTGTGGTCTTGTGTATCCAGGCTTATATGACTCACATAGCATAGCTATCTGAGGATAATTGTGCTCTTAACTTGGGTGGGATGTTCCCGTTGATCTAATTGGGTTTCCCATTTCTGTTGTATGAGTTCAAGTTGTGTGAGTGGCCCGTGGCGCAGTGGCATGGCCCCTTTCTGAGAAAAGGCTTGGTGTATGTCTGTCGCTTCCTTGGTGCTTCTACCAGGTGGACAGGCATGCGCCTCGGCACGGTTGGATTTCGTTCCCCAATGTGCCCCTTAGGGGGCGCAGCGTGGAGTTCCCTAGAAGTGGAACGTCTCGGGTTACGCATGTAACCATGGGTCCCCGAGAGGGAACGAGACGCTGCGCCCCCCCGCCATGCGCTCGGGGAATGCAGCCTGCATGACCGGTGT